TGTTTCATTTTTTTTCTTTTAAATCATAACAAATTTTCTTTTTTTTCTTGTAACGATAATAGAAGTAACATCATAACATAAATAAAATAACATATACATTACCTGCACTCTCTCCCATAATAACAATTCTTTTAGGATCAATAGGGTCAAATCCTGCATCTTCTCCAGGGTTTGTTAAATACAAGTATGCAGCGATAGCATCACAAAGGGCAGCAGGAAATTGATGTTGTGGTGATAATCGATAATCAACACCTGATAATTATTTGATAATAAATTGATAATAATTTAAATAAATTATCGATACGTATAAAATATAAAAGAGGCAAAAAAGAGATAAAAGAGGGAGAATTGTTATATTAGTAAGTCATACCAAAAACTTTAGCTTTACATATTTTTGCAATTTCAATTGCAAGAGATCTAATCATTTTAGTTCCACCAATACAAAAATAACCACCATGTAAAAATAAAACAATGGGATGTTTTTTTGGAATGTTATTAAAATAAACCCATTCACCGGTTAATTCTTGACCATTTGTATCTTTCCATTTTGGATCCAAAACATCATCATATTTTGCCAATAACTTTTCAATAAGAAGTTGAGCAATTGCGCGATAATTATCAGATAATTCTATATTTTCTTTTACAGAAATACCAGGTGGTGGTGAAAGTTTAGTTGAGTTACTTATTATTTGAACTTCTTCGATTGGTCTATCAAATGTTGCAGTTAGCATGGATTTAAATAGGTTAAAACCAATATGAAATTTATAATTCCAAGATGGACGAGGTCTGCCTTTAATTATGCGATTAACACTTGTTGAAAGGACAGTCGGAATTGTTTGTAATAAAGGCATTTTTGATAAAAATAAAAGATTAACGTGATAAAAAAGGATTAGCAGAAAAAAAAAGGATTAGAAGAAAGGAAAATAAATGCAAGGGGTATATTGAAAAAAAAAAAGGATTAGAAGAGAGGATAATAAATGCAAGGGGTATATTAACCACAGGAAAAAAACACAACACGATGATTTAAAATTCACGCATACATATGTACGTCCCTTTATGTAACTTTTGTAACTTGGAATAGCAAGTTCGGAAAACAATCCCTAATTTGGGTAAACCGGATGATATACAAATATTCGCCAAAAGAGAAAAAACGTAATGTGTCTTATCTTGTGATAAGAGTAAAGTATTGCAATGGACAAAAGAAGAATTTAGGTTAATAATTATCGTAGCGTGACCAAAAACAATAAAAAATAGAAACTTTAATAAAAAAATCATGTTTCGCGAACGTGCAAGAAGGGAAATCCGAGATGCCACGGTCTGTGAGCATAGCGAAAAGAATTGTGTATCACATAAAGAACTTTCAAGGAAAGTATTGTATCGGCCGTTTTGTTTCTAGAAAAAGCAATGTGATGGTCGAGAAATTGCTTTTACTATATGCACATACGTACGTGATAATCGAGAATTAAAAATTAAGAGATACCAAAATATAACAAATAATACCAAAACATAACAAATAGGCTTTGCCGACGAATATCCGATGAGTACATTCAAAGTTGGTGCTAAGGTTGTTATCCAGCTTAAGCTGGTTAGTTTGTGCTTCGAAATCCGCTCGAACACTGTTCCGAAACACACACATAAAACTGATTTTAAAACTCTGCTTCAAAACTGGTTATACATATGATTATTAATTATGCTTGCCTGAACAAACCCGTTATTTATCGGAATATATGCATATAACGATAAATTAAAACTTACGAAAGCGAAACGTTTTGCTCGTAAGGTCGGTTTCGAACTCGATTCGAGTACACAATGATTATATAATTAAAATTCACGTGATTAAAAAACCTGTGCTTAACTGGGACAAACGGAGTTCCGACAAGTAGGAATAACATCCCTAGTTTGTACTGAAGGTTTCTCAAGGCGACTAAAATTATAAATAACGATAAGCCGATTATATTTATAGTAGTATTTCGTGAAACCAGCTTTGAAAGGTTTCAAGGAGTTTGAAACGGTTTCAGATAATTTTAATTTTAGAGATTCTGTTATACGTAATAATATATAGCAATTTATGCAATTGAAAAAGTTTATTCACAAAGAAAAAAAAAGAAAAAAATTACTTTGTTTAGAGAATTTTGAAAGATTTAAAACCACTGCTACTACTGATAAAGTTTAAACAGATTCCGAATAAACAAAATTTAAACAGAACGAAATTTCAAGATCATTTTTTATTTAATTTTCATGTATCTTGTTACATTCCATTTTTCAAAATTTTCCATTTCCCTCCTTTTTTTTTTTGTTTTTTTACAAAATACGAAATATAAATACAAAAAGAATTACTGAATTAATAAAAAGAAATGGTAATTTAACGTTTTGTAAGTTTATAAAACGTTATACCGAGTGTTCGCATATTTAAATTAATTATATAAAAGAGTGTTTGTAATTTTGTTTGTAATTCAAATCATTAATAAAATGAGTGTCATTGGTTTTTGTTTGTAAAGAGGAATTTGACATTGTTGAAGTGTCACTTCCACGTCTTGATTGACTTATATAAGCAGATTCAGGTATTAACGAGTTATGATTACCAATTAATCTAGCCGAATCCATTCCAGAATTATTAAAACCAATCGTTCCATCTCTATCAGTTTTGCTTCGTTTAGTTTCATGTTCAACGTAAGAATTGTTATTATTAACAACTCTATAATTATCACCATTATCACCACCAGTTACCATATTAGCCCATTCGAAAAATGATAATCTTTGCATTGACACTACAACAATTTTTCCTTTATCAAGTTGAAAAGAACCAGTTTGTCGTTGTCCAAGCATGGATTCTCTTATCCATGTAGATGGTGGTGTGTACTGTGATCGACGAGTAACATTAGTTGTAGATGGAGCCCATGGACTCATAATCTTTTGACATTTGGAAATTGATCTTGATGAAGACGAAGGAGGTACGTCCCGCGTTCCTACCATTGACAGATCAACATTATTATCGTTAAGATCGTTAAGATCGTTAAGATTACTATAACTATTATTATTATTATCATCACCTCTCCCATCTTCAATTAATATACTATTCAACCATTCTATATTTGGAGGACTTTCACTATTACCCTCGATAACTTTAACGATTTCTGCATCAACAGTAATCAAATAAGATTGTGTAATAGTCACAAAACATAATAAACCATTCAAAGTTGAATAATCAATTGAAGAATTTCCAACAGCTTGAATAACAGATATCGCATTAAAAAAAAAATCTATAGTTAATCTTAAAAAATTCCAATACAAAACGGCGGTAAATAATGTTCTTTTTGGAGGTTTTCTGCCAATTATTGAATTAGCTTCAGCAGCACTTCTATTTCCTTCTGTTAAGATTTGAACTAGACGAGCGGTTACGAATGAGTCAATGATAAAATCAATTCCCACAAAGCTTAGATAGATTGGTAGTGCTTCAGGCTCATGAGCTGAAATACAAGTCGTTTGGTTAAGATCTTGTGATTTCGGTATTGATTGTGGGTTTTGATATCCAAAGTATACAAGCTTTGTTTAAGAAAATATAATTAGAAAGTATAATTAGAAAATATAATTATAAAATATAATTAGAAAGGAATATTAAACAAAACTGATATATAATAAGCTTACGTTTAAAATATTTCTAGTGGTGAATAATCCAAAACTAATCCATCGATCCCAGATGGAATACTCTATCTGCTTTAATCTCCACAATAAAAAACCCATTAAAGCTTGTCGATAAAAAAAATTTGCCACAACTTGTAAATACGTTAAAGCCGAGCATTGGGATGGCGAGATATTGTGTAAAACCATTATCGCTGAATATATAATCACAGATCTTGCTATTCCACTAAAGTTGAATATTACTTTTAAAATATTCGACACATTCGCATGACCCGATCGATATAGTATTACGGAAACGAAGAAATTGTGTAAATACGCCTATTTACAAAGATTATGGATTGTGGATGTTTTATTAATAAATGTCTAATCTTTTATATAAGTATTTATAATAATTACTTACCATTGTCGCAAGGCCCGACAAAAATGAAGTAAATAAGTCTGCTAATTGTTCTATCATTTTTGTATTCCTGAGCCGCAGTACTAAAAAATTTTGTATGATGTTTTTTTTTTTTTGATCTAATTACGAATATTTAATTCTTTGAATTTTAAAAAAGTTTACTCGGCTAGATAATCCAAATAATCATTATTTTTTTTTAAATAGGTGACAAGCTTTTGTACAAAAAGAATTTTTTAATTATCATGACCAGATCATAAAACCTGTTTAAACTGGCATTGTATATTATATATCTTTTTTTTTTTTTTTCGAAGAGAATTGGAAAAAGATAAATTCGGAACTGGAATTTAATAACTATTTACATTTTCAATCTATACTTTTTTATACGAGTTGCAAGCCTATATATAGACCATCTACTCTTAATATAGTAGTAATTGCCGGTCTTAAACAATTTCATAAATAATTTATTTTATATATATACATTTAATTTATACGTATGTTTGTACTATCTTACAAAAGCATATCAACACATACTATATATATTCAGTCATAATTATTCTCGTTCGCATTTATTTAAATAATTATTATTTGCTTTTTGCATAATTTTTTTTTTAATTTTTTGCGTTTTTTACCTTATAACATTCTAGCATATATTGATTAAAAAGGAATCCATGAGTGATGAATGTTACCATAAATTATACATACTAATTGTTAACTTTTACTAATTATATTTTTTAGCTCGAGACCATTGAGGAGATTGTATGTATAATTCCATTTAACATTGTGCTGGACTAGTAATATAAAACGTGCAAATTATTATTATATACCAAATCATTATTGTATTTAAAAACCTTAATCATACTAAATATTCTATTGTTAATATTATTTGTTAAATTTGTTGTACAGCAGTACATCATGAGAATATTCCATTTTCTCCGATAGCCGATTATTTATACATAGTTTATTTATAGTTTATTGTGCATTGTGTAATTGTTCTTAACATTAATACATCTATAATCACCATCATAGTATAATATGAATGGTAATAATCACTACATATAAAGCTTAATTTTTTAAGTAAAATTATTCGTTGAGATAATTCACAAACAAAAAACATTTGAACTGAGCTATAAAAAATTTTATTAATAAACAATCGTAAATTAAGAAAACTAAAAAAATTTCGTTATGATTCCTTATTTTTTGCTTATTATGCTATCTAAATCTTACAGTAATAAGATTTTCCAATATACAGTATTAATAAAAACTAAAAAGTTTATATAGATGCAAATATGTATAATTTAATATTCAACTTGATAAATAAAACAGTATTGTTTTTCTAATAAAGATAGAATAAATTCTTATAAGTAAACGAGTGCTGCAAAATTAAAACCTGAAAGTGGATATTTTACGTTTTCACAAATTGATTACAATGATTTACATAGTCGTTTCGGGAACACAGAACGTGTAACGTACAATAGAGTTAATCAACAAATTTTTTGTATTATAGCTATCACTGGTTAAAATCGCTTCTAAGGTAATTTTGTAAAAGACTGAATCTAATAAGCCTACGTAGTAGGATTATATAAGGTAGCCTTTACCGAATTTAGGGGATGGCTAAAATCATGAAAAAAATTCTGTGTTAGGATTGGTCGATCTTTTATCACAACTTGTCATATTAAGCTTATGCGACAGACCCCTGCTTCACAAGTTTTGCTTACGTATGCGAAATTATGATTTTATTTATCAATTATGCTGTAAATGTGCTAATTTCTGCCATTTTTTAAAATTATGCCATAAATCCATTTCCTCTGATCGAATCTTCAGGGTTTCAGAATTTTATTGGTTATGCTTAAATATGCTAAAACATTTACAAATTATGCAGAGTTGTGCAAAATCCGCTTTGATACGCAAATTATGCTATCGCAGATTTTCAGTGGCCCTAGCTTATATGTACCCAGTATCACCATAAAAAATCCGCACTTATAGAATTCGTTCCCGGTTTTGATTATGTAATAATAACCACTAATCATCAAACTAATACTAATGCTTGCCTCAGATGTCGATTTTTGGTCAGCATTAACTGATCGATATTGATTGGCCTAAATTATACCCTAATCCTTCCCAAATTCTTACTAGGGCATCTGGGCAAGTGTTAATCTGAGGCAATAATAAATGTTCTTAAATTTTGAAGGCCTTTTAATAAGGCGATACAAATAAAATAAACTGATTTACATAAAATTTGAAAAATTTTTTGTCGTTATAACGGACCTGTCAGACTGAAAAAATCTGTCTGTTATAATAAAAATCCATTATCACATTATAGTGGATTTATTAATATATATATGTTGTGCGTCAAATTAGAATCTGCGTCAGATTAGATCATTAAAATCCCGCTAATACCTAACATAGGCACTCACCCTAACAAAACACCGCATTTAAATTTTGATCTGACCCAAATTTTAATCTGATGCACGACATATATAGTCGAGTATTTATGTGTAGTTTGATCTCATCTATGGATATAGTCAGACCTCTCAACCTGCTTAATAACAATAATAACAAAATAGGCAGATTACGCTACTTTCACATTGATCAAAGGTAAAAAAAACATTAAAATTTAAAAAAAATGAATGAATCAGAAAAATTTAATCAAATGCGCATTTAAAATATTGCATTTCGGAGGTAAAAGTCCATAAGTATTAGGCCGCACTAAGTTAATTTTTCGTTTTGCATTATCCGCTGACCCAAAATTTTCAAAATCTCAATGTTTTTATTTTAAAACAAAACTAACCAATCGATTTAATGAATTGAATACAAAAAAAAAATCAATATTTGTTTAATCAAATATAGTGACATACCGGAACATTTTGGGATGGTACCCTTTACAAAATCTGATTGGCAGAATCTAATATAGTGTCGAGTGTAAATTTATACGTAATTTATTTAACGCATTATTATCTAATGATGCTGAAATTTGAACTTATTTGGGAGTTAGTGTTAGAGTTCATAATAAAAGGTATAAGTGTATATGTGGATTTCAGTGAATGTACAAATAATTTTTCATTAATTTACATACAATTAGGTCTACGATAAAAATTAAATATCGGTCCATTCTAGGAATATCTTTCTAGTTTCATATTGATAGCAATAAAGATAAATCATTCTATCGGTATTCCCATTTTTATCAATTGAAATTTGTATTATTTTAGGAAGATATCATTAATAAACACTAATTTTCAAATTTTAAAATGGACAACGATTAGTACATAGCTATTACAGTTACGAGTTATTCTACCTGGTAAGTTACCGATAGGTTTAAACTCAACATAATTTTATAATGCCTTATGATTTAACTGATTCAAAAGTTAAAGAACTTGAAATCATCTGAACAAGCAAAATGCTTTTTCAAGAAAGCCTTAGAAATTAAAAACTTTGGCTACATGAAATTTAGTTTTAAAACCCCGACCACCGATCGAAATTTTGAATGCCGTGTAATACAAAATGAAAATAACATTTGTACCTTATATTAATGAATGAATTTTCGTGGTCAATGTGTCCTGTGCCGAAATGATATTAAATATGGTATGAGTGAGCAGATCAGTATGATAAGACCAAAATTAAAAACCATACTACTGTAATTCCTAATTCTAACGATAATATACATACCGAATCAGTATCGTATAGATACTGATCAGTTCCTGATCTACAAAACACCCTGCCGAAATTTATCTGAATCTTGCAAAAACTAATTTTATTTCTGTCAGCAAAGTCGGTGTTTCAGTTGCTTTTATATTTTTCATTAACCGAATTGATAAGTTATTGAGTCAGAATCAATAAGTTACTGACTTTGGCTAATGTCAAAAACTTATTATTTCAGTTATTTTCAAGTGTCTTAAAATTTATACATAGAAACAATCGTAATGCAGATCTAACAATTTTA